CAACTGGGTGACTTTGAGCCAATCACCAGGAGACGGTGAGTTCTAGTCTAGCCTTAAAGAATGAAAGCCGGTTGGGTGACTTTAGACCAATCATCAGGCAAGTTTTACCCTGGCCTTAAATATAAGACAGCTGGGTGACTTTAGGCCAATCATCAGGTGACGGTGGTGAGTTCTAGTTCCGCCTTACGCATGAAAGCTAGTTGGGTGCCTTTGGGCCAATCACCGTCTCTCAGCCCCACTCACCTCCCAGGGCTGTTATTGCGAGTAAAATAAGAGGAATGCGTGTTGACGTGTTTGTCATATTTGTTAAAATAATAAAGGTGGGATAAATAAAACACAAACACACTTCAGCTATCGAAAATCTGGCAACAACTGCGTTGAATGCTAGTTGAAACGTTCAGAGGAAATTTTACATCTTAGTCTCAAAGACGGGCGTCCTTCAAGAAGAGGCCGGAGACCAACCGAGATTGGCAACTTATTCTACTTTGGATCTGAAAATAGCCCTTAGAATTATGCACCGTTTCCTAGGACTTTGCTGCCCTCTCTAAGCACTGTACAGAGTCGGCCTCTTGCCTTCAACAATCTGAGTTCTCGTTTGACCCACCTCAGAAGGACAGGAGGCTGAGTCAACCTTGAGCCTGGTGAGAAAGGAAGGAAGGAAGGAAGGAAGGAGAGGGAGGGAGGGAGGGAGGAAGGAAGGAAGGAAGGAAGGAAGGAAGGAGAGGGAGGGAGGGAAGAAGGAAAGAGGGGAAAAAGGAAAAAAGGGAAGAAGAGAGGAAAGAGGGATGGAGGAAAGAGGGGAGGGAGGAAGGAAAAGAGGAAGAAAAAAGAGGAGAGGAAGGAAGGAGACGGAAGAAAGAGGAAGGAAAGGGAGGGAGGGAGGGAGGGAAGGAAGGAAGGAAGGTAGGTAGGTAGGAAGGTAGGTTGGTTGGTTTACAGAGTCAGCCTCTTGCCCCCAACAATCTGGGTCCTCATTTTACCCCCCTCGGAAGGACGGAAGGTTGAGTCAACCTGGAGCCTGGTGAGATCTGAACTGGCAAATTGCAGGCAGCCGGCAGGCAGCCAGCCGAAATAGCCTGCAGTACCGCACTCCGACCACTGTGCCACCGTGGGATCGGTGAGGGGGAATTTTGATTTGCGGGCCCTCCTATCCGAGTCCGACGCCGCTAAACTTTCAGGCAGGGGTTGCTGGCGCCATCAGGAATGAAAAGGAAGACAAAACGACAACAACAGCACACCGTATCCGTAAGGTTTTAATGATCTCTCTGCTCGGGAAGACCTACAGAATACAATCCACAGAGAAGAGGCAGGAGGAAGGGCGGGGGGAGGAGGGGAAAAAAAGCAGAGACGGAGACCGAACCGAGTCATAAATGTAAATCTAAACAACTCACAGGAAAACCACAGTGGAACTTCCAAACACGGAGCCTCCGTGGAAGAGGGGAGGAGGAACATGGCAAGGCGGAGCAGACTTCAAAAACAGCAAACACGACTCTTTCGTCTTTTGTTGCAGACGGACGGACGGAGGGATATTTTAAATAGACACTCCTGGGGGGGGTTCGCTCAGGAGGCAGCCCCTAGAAAAGGAGTGGGGAAGCCCCCCCCCCAGCTGTTGTTAAACACCAGTTCCAAGCAGGTTCTGGGTTCCAATTCTGCCTTCTTCCATAGAATCCTAGCTTGTTAGTCTATGAGATCTCCAAACTTGGCCAGCTTTAAGACTGGGGGACTTCAACTCCCAGAATTCCCCAGCCAACATAGCTTATTTTCTTACAATCCCTTCCTCTTGCAATCTCTCCTCTTTGAGGGAGAGGCGAAAAAGAAACAGACATGGCCGGCTGGGGAATTCTGGGAGTTGAAGTCCGCCAGTCTTAAAGCCGGCCAAGGTTTGGGGACGCCATGTGCCAGACCTACCTTAACCATCTCAAATTTGCACTCTCTTTTCCTTCACCGCGGTGCCGCCCGCTGTCTCCTTTTTTGGGGGGTGGGGGGGGATTTTTCAGGGGCTCCTCAAGATACAAGGGGAGAGACGAGAAGAGGCCAGCCCACGCTTCCGGGGACTCCCAAGAATTAAAGAAATAAAGCCAGCCTGGGAAGAGCAGACAAGATATGGCCGAAAAGGATTTCTTTCCCTTGGAATTTAAGCAAGGAGCTTCCCAGGAGGAGGCCTGGCCTGAGCAGGAATTACTCTGCCCTTCCAGACAAGGTAAGCTGCGATCATCCCTTTCCTCGGGGCTTAACCGAATTACTGCTCGTCCAAACGGGGCGTTTAAGTCCCACTTTCTTAACAATCTCAGGGGAGGGAAAGAAAGACTTAAATCCTTCTTTTATTTAGGAAGAGATCTGTCCCCCCCACCCCCCCAATCTGCTATGAGACTCCCCGCAAAGGTTGTGTTTTGCTAAGCCCTGGATAAAAATTGGCCCAGATATTTAGGATTCCAGCCGGTCCACCGTCTCATGCCCGGTGGGGGTGACGGTGAGTTGAAAACCAAGTCGCGCAGGGGACAACTTTCCTTGTGCCAGGATGGGGGACCTTATTCTGGTTGGAAAGACATTGGCTGAGCCAGGAGGGAGAAGTCAAGCGGGAAACTAGTCTGGAATCTCTCTGGAGGCACAAAAGGGCGAAGTCGGAGCTTCTCGGATGCTGTTGAACTTTCTCTGAGCCGGGTGCAAGCCGGCAATCTGGGCAGATTCCTGTATGATAGGCACCAGCAAGGAAGTGGCTAACTGAACTCTTCACCTGTGGATCTGGCTGTTGGCGCTTGGCAGTTCTCCCAACTCTCCAAACCGCGAGAGGCGGGAACCCACCCCAAGAGCCCCAGACCATCCAGCTCTCCAGAACAAGATCCACGGACCGGGATCCAACGTTAAGAAGGGAGGGACACCCCCGAATCTGACCATGAGCATTCCTGGGAAACAGGGGGGAGGGGTGCTCCAGAAAGAGATGGACGAGGCCTTTTCACAACTAGGCTGTGCTCAGGACACACGCCAGCCACTTGCTAATAACAACGCAAACCCAAATCTACTGATTTCTGAAACATCAAGGCGGGCAAGAGACAAGGAGACATCAAAGACAAGGAGACATCCAATTCCGGAAGAAGGACAGAAGAAACGGAGGGTACGCATCGGAATGGGGCCACCTGGGGAGGCGGCTTCCGGGCTGGGTGAGGCCGCTTCCCCTTTCGTCCCGGCCTTTATAAATAAATTTTTCACATCTAGCTCACAGTGAAGATGCAGTTGCTACAGAGATTATCCTAGCCAGATAATCCACCAGAGGGCACTTTCCGTGGAGTCCGGCGTGGGGCAAAAGGGCTCCTGGGCTCCCCTCTAGTGGCCACAATTAATCACAATGTCATCGTATTCTTCCTGGGGAAAGAAAGAAAGACGGGCTGTTGGGCGTCTGCAGGGCTGAGCCCAGGGGGAAGGGTCAAAGGCAGCATCAGTCTGGAGTCCCTTTGCACCCACAAGAAAGCTGAGTCCAGCCCCCCCCCGCTGAATTCTGCTGACTCTTAGAGCTACCACCCATTTGCTTTGAGCGTTAGCAGTTTGGATTCTTGTAGAAAGTGTTAGCATGCAGTCATTCCTCCCTCCCTCCCTCTTTTCTTCCTTCCTTCCTCCCACCTTCCCCGCCTTGACTCCTTCCTTCCTTTCTCCTTATGCCTTCTTTCCTCCCTCCGACTCCTTCCTTCCTTCCACCCATCCTGTCTGACTCCTTCCTCCCTCCCTCTGACTCCTTCCTTCCTTCCTTCCTTCTTACTTACTCCCCTCCCCTTCCCCCCCCCCCCCCCCCGGGTGCCCAGCGGCCTGTCTCACTGCTTGCCTCCCCCTTGCGATCGCACTCACCTCGCTGTTACTGTCCACACTTTCCTCAGAATCCCACTCCGGCTCCTCGGAACCGAATTCCCGTAAGAGCTGCGGGATTTTTTGGTCAGGACGGTGCACGGCGCTGTACATGGGCGTGTAGCCCACGTACATGCGTGCCTCTGTGTCAGCTCCTGCGCGCAAGAGGCACTCCACTACTTCGGGGCTCTGGGATTCCACCGCGAGGTGGAGAGGACTCCGGCCACAACTTAGCTCCTGCAAGGCAACAACTGCTTGTCAGTGTAAGGCGTCCATGCGAATCCTGTTTGGATGCTCCAGTTACAACAAGTGGCAAAATATTCAGGCAACAAATTAGCGCCATGCATTCAAAATGAGTTTCAAGCTCTCCTAGTTGAGAAATAGTTTCACAACAACAATGTAGCAGAGGCGGCGTTGAAAGAGGGATCAGCCTAGAATCCCAGCACAGGCGCTAAGTCCCCTTGTGGCTACACAGGGATTCTAAGCTCATGCCTCTTTTAACGCCGCCCCCAGCTTCTGGCAACTCCTTCCCCTACTCAACTGGCCACCTCCTCACCTGACGTCCACGTCAGCTTCCACTGGTCAAAAGGGAGTTATACTTAACAGGGGCAGTCCTCGACTCGTGACAGGTTGCTTAGCGACCATTTGAAGTTATGACAGACCCCGGAAGATATTTAGGACTTGGTCCTCGCGTTTTGATGGCCAACCCATTCCCTGTAGTCACATAATCAGATTTGATATGGTGGGCAAATGGGCTGTGTTTATGATCTATGGCAGCATCCCGCAGTCCCATGACCGTGTTTTACGACATTTCTGACAAAACCCGGTGTTCACTTCCGTTTTTTGGTAAAAACCGCCCCCAAAGGGTTTTAATGTCCATGGATTCACTTAATAACCATGCTGATTTGCTTAATTCATATTCATTTAATGACTCCATCATCCCTTGCGGGGTGGAGTCTGGGAAACTGAATGGAGCTAGCAGTGTGTGTTTTAATGGCCAGATGCCCTTCCTGTTGCCAGGGAGGAGTTTTGTTTCAGCAGACCTATTCTCATTGTGCCCAGAGGAAATATCTGCCTCTACCTAAGGATCGAACTCAGTCACTCTTGTGAGGCCACCGCACCATTCATTGATTTGCTTAATGCCCGTTGCAAAACAGGTCATCAAATTGGGTCAGTCAAGTGATCGCCTGTTTTACAAACACGGTGACTTACGACCATAACGGGCAGGCTCCATTAACAGTCAACAAGGTGAGGATTACCTGTAATATTTTTTTTTTAACCCGATTTCTCTCCCGCTTTTCTATTTGAATTCCCAGCCTGTTTAACCCGAACATCGAGGATCGCTTCCTTTAAAAACAGAAATTGACACAGAGATTTTTTTTTTTCATAAAACTAACCGGTTTGTTGAGATCTGATCCTGCAGAGATTAAGAGGCTCACCATGCCCAAATCTTTCCGTAGAATGGCCACATGCAGGGGGATGTAACCTGGAGGAGGGTGTTGGGGGAAACCCCCCCAAAAAAACAACAACAGCAAAACAAAACGATTTTATGAGGTCAACTTGGGCTGCAGGGTGGAAAAACAACCCGTCGTTCCCTGCGACCTGTAAACCTTCACCCGCCACACTGGAATTCAAAAGAAACCCCATCGTACAAAATAAATAACATCTGTTCCAATTCGGTTCAGATCCCTTGCCAGAATTTGAGCAATCTATGCAAAGCCGGCAAGGAGGTAAAATTTTAACCACAGTAGAAGTAAACACCTGGCTTTGAAAAAGAGATCAAAAATCACAATCTAACGGGGGGGGGGGGGAAGTAAGAGACGTACATTTTGTTAACCCTAAAACTTCTTATTACTGGACCACAACAGGACATAATTTTATGCATCATTTGTATGGTGCATTTTTAAAGTAATTCACCGTTCTGGTGCTTTATATTTCAATATATATTTTAATATGCTGTGTCAGGGTTCTGGCAGTGACCCCAATTAAATCACAAGTCTCGAGCCAAATTTCCAAAACTTCAAAAGGATTTATTGGGAGTTAACATGTCCGGCACTGCCTGGGTGTAGCCAACTTTGAGATACATCATTCACTGTCACCCTTGACCCTGGTTCACCCCCCCCCCCACCTGTCTGGGTGTATCGTAATTCATATCTTCCAATGGGACACATCCGTAGCCCGGAGTCATCAATCAGGCTCTCCAGTTAGAAGTCAAAATAAGTACATAACGTTATTAAGTACAAAATAAACCAACAACAGAGACGAGGTTACAAGCCCACCCACTCATCAACGGATAGCTAAACTGTGTGAATTTTGGAGGCATGCCAGTGATTTTCTGAACTTCCCCCAGCCATGAGGACTAGAAACTTGTGCTCACGGTTTTCTCTCCCTGTTTACAACAGGCTTCAATGAGGAGAGTTCTATCCAGGAGTGGGCTTCAAAAATTTTAGCAAGGGGTTCTCTGCCCAGTTGCTGGGTGGGCGTGGCCACGATGGGCGTGGCCTCGTCGGCCACCTGCACCATGGGGGCGGAGGGGTTGCCTGCCCCGGGCTCCTGAGGCTTTCCTCGAGACTCCAGGAGGGCAAAAAGGGCCTCCCCAGGCTCCGGAGGCTCTCTGGAAGCTGGAAACGGGCCCATTTCTGGCCTTCCCAAACTTCTGGGAGGCCCATTTTTCGCCCTCCCTGAGCCTGTATGTGCGCTCTGCCCATACCTGCATCCAAAACGGGCTCCTGGGAGGGGAGGGGTGAGCAAAGCCAGCCAGGAGTGGGATTTGGGGGGGTTCTCTGAATTGCACAGAATCTTAGCTAGGGGATCTCCCGAACCCCCAGCAGCCCACCCCTAGCAGGGGTGGGATTCTACCAGTTCGCACCTATTCGCTAGAACTGGTTGTTAACATTCTAAGCAGTTCAGAGAACTGGTTGTTAGAAGAAATTACTGGGCCAATCCTGTAAGGAAGGCAGGAAGGAAACATTCTGGTGTTGCTTACAAAAATTCCCTCTTTGTTAGCCCTTATTTCATTCTTGGCAGGACTAGACTTCCTGTCTCAGGAACTTCTCTAGAGCTTTTTTCCCCTCCTTTGCTGGTCCTTTGCTTGTGTGGAGTGACCATTAAAGTTACAATAGCACTGAAAATAATGACTTATGACCATTTCTCACACTTACGACTGTTGCAGCATCCCCACAGTCACAAGAGACCAGGCGAGGAGAGGCGTGCCTCGATGTGAGTGATATTGAGTTGGCTACGCCCAGCCAATAACATGAGCACCAAGCCACGCCCACCCAGTCACATGACCACCAAGCCACGCCCACCACCTAAGCCACGCCCACAGAACCGGTTGTTAAAAAAATTGAATCCCACCCTTGACCCCTAGTTCTATCTATTTCATGGACGCTGCTTACCATCATAATTGGTGCAGTCCAGTTGGGCCTGGAAACGGTTGCGCTGACAGGGCCTTTGGACGGTGAGCGGCGCCAGCAGCTGTTCGGCACAATCCCGCCACCCTTCTCGGCACGCCAAGTGCAGGGCCGTATGGCCTCCTTTCTCTTGGACGCCCAGCCCGGCTCCTGCCGACACCAGTTTGCCAACAAAGCCGGATGCCCCGAGGATGACAGCGATGTGAAGTGCAGTCTAAAAGTGCGGGAAAGTGAAGGAAAGGTGAAAAGCGTCCGGTGTGTTTTTCACACTTAAGTTTTGGTGTTCTCTTATAACAAGCATGTCCAACCTTGACAACTTTAAGACTTGTGGACTTCAACTCCCAGAATTTCCCCCAGCCAGAATTTCTGGGAATTGAAGTCCAAACAAGACTTTTTTTTTAAATTTCATGCTGACTGGCAAATTCTGAGCATTGAAGTCCACAAGCGTTCAAGTTGCCACGGTTGGACACCCTTGTTTGTGTAAGAGAACACCCAAACTATTATTTGTTTAGCAAGACTGTTGACACCAGGCCTAGAAGGCTTCCGATCTCATTGTTTTATTTGTTCTCAGCTTTCATCTTTTAAAATTTAACCAGCGCAAATTCTGTCCTCAGGTCTGCCCCAAACAAGTCGTCTTATTGCGACTTATAAATTTGGGGACTGCCGGAAGCGAAGGCAAGTACCCTGCGGTCTCACCTGGCCAAGATCATTCTGAATATCCAGGTAATCGGTTCCGTGGGTGTACTGCAGAATAGAATCCAGGAAAGCTTCATGTTCATGGATCACCGCCAGGTGAAGAGCTCTGGAATGAGAGGAAAGAGCAAACATGGTTTAAAAAGTGCCAAACTCACAAGTGGAAAAAACTTTTCTGCAGTATAGATAGTTCTCGACTTACAACCATTTCATGACTGATCCGACTTAAAATGGCACTGAAAAAAGTGACTTTTCCCCGCACAGTTCTAACCTCTGCAGCCTCCCCACAGTCAAAATTCAGATGCTTAGCAACCGATTCATATATACGACAGTCTCAGCATCCCAGGTTACACGCGATCCCCTTTTGCGACCTCCCTTAAAGCCAACCTCAACGGGGACACCAGATTCCCTTACCAACTTAATTTTAGTTTAGTTTATCGTCATTGCCCCTCGCACAATGAAATTAAGTGCCCCCTTCGGCGTACATGATAAGTATCAAAATAAAAGCACAAAACAAACACCTCCTTCGCATTCTATACAGTTAAAGGCTACGGATTGCCAGGGTTAAAAACTCCAGGTGAGACAGGTCGTGAAAAAAGAGGGTGCGCTGGGCGGCGGTTGTTAAGCCGAGGATTTACCTGTAGAGGTAGTTACATCCTCGACTTAGCCTCGCCATCGAGCCCCGGAATTACGGTTATGTTGTGCGGTCCTTAAGCAGGTCATCAGGTGAGGCTCTCCCACCCCCCCCAATTTTCAATGTCGTGTGCCCCCCCCTTCCCCAGGGACCCCAAGTTCGCCCCCCCCACCCGCAAAGAACCTGGGCTACCTACGTGTCTCCATCCTCCGTGACGAAGCCCAAGACGTGGCGCAGCCAAGCCTCGGGGCCCACCTGGCTCTGGAGGTGGACGCCCCCCACTCCTTCCACCAGGTCTCCCACCTCCTCGTCGCCCCCCAGGGCCGAGTCCAGGCGCCCCTCCTCCTCCTCCTCCACTTCCAGGGACTTCTGGGGGGCTCTGGGGTCAGAGGTCAAAGGGCAGCCCCCAGGGACCCCCTCAGGGACCCCCAGGCCTCCATCCTCCTGGAGTTGGACCAGCTGCCCTTCGCTGAGCGAGCCCAGGCCGCTGTCGCACCATTCCTCGCCCCCTGCCTCCAGCCTCTTGGGCTCTCGGGGGCCGCCCTGGCCGGGCTGTCCCTGGACGAAGGCCATGGCTCGGGACGGGCCTACAGAGGAGCCCTCACTACGGGCAGAGGGGCCATCGCGGAGGCCGGGCCCCCAAAATCCGCCAAGGGGACCGAGAAACTCAAGCAGCCGGCCCGGCCGAGGATGCCATGAAGGGGAATTTCAGCGGCCTGGGGATTCCCCGGGGTGAGCGTCTTATCAGGCGAAGAGAGGCATGCCGGGAGTTGTAGTGACGCTCCTGGCCGTCGTTCTTTTTTTTTTCTCTCTCTCCTCCCCTCCCTCTGCGCCTGCGCTTTAGAAAACAAGACGGCGGCTCCATATATTTTTTCTCGAGGTATGATGGGAAGTGGAGTCCTGCGAGTAAAGACTTTTGGATAACATTGGCGTTTTTTTCACGTTTTGGTGTTTCCCTTTAGAACGTCCTCTCTTTTACGTTACTATTCGTTTATATTCGCCTCCGTCTAATTTTTTTTGGCTTTGAGGCGGCCCTAATTTGGAAGGACGGTTTCACGCTTCATCGACGTCGCCCCCCCCCCCCAACTTAGCGCAAAGCCTGAAGGGAGATGGGAGTTATTTGCAATTTCTCTTTCCCCGCCCCCTCGTCCCTAGCCGTGGTTCGGCGAGCCCAAAACGGTCTCGCCCATCGGTGACGCCATAGGTTGTTTGTTTGTAAAGCTGGTCGGCCATTGGCTGCTCGCCCGCGGGGCTTTTCGGGACTTGTAGTTTTCCTCTCAGGGAGCAACGGTCTGTTTGGATTCTCGGCGGAGCGGCGACGCGACCTTCCATGGCAAGCCGGGAAGGTAACGGTGCCCCTGAGGGAACCGGTGGGCTGAGGGAGCCCGGGGCTCCTGCCCAGTCTCCCCTTCTTCCTTCTGTTTCCCTTGTCACAGGCGCTGCCGCCAGTCCCGAACAAGGCGCCGAAAAGGCCTCGAAGTCCTCGGTGAGGATTTAGGGGGCGAAATTGGGGGGGCGTCGCTCCAAATCCCCCCCAGGGCCTTCTCTCTAGGCGGCTGTGCCCCCACAGAGGGGAAGGGGGCGCCCGGAGCGATGTCCATCAGGCGGAAATCCAACCGGTAGAGCTCCCCGGGCTCGAGGCCCAGAATAAGGACTCTTAAAATATCATTTCGGGGGGGGGGGGGGGGGGGGTTGGACTTCCAAGCCCATCATCCCCGCCTCAGCTGGATGGGAGTCAGGTGAGGGGGGAGAAAACCCTCTGAGGAAAATCCTGCTGCTATGCCAATTTTCCCCATCCTCCCTTAGGAATTTTCCAAAATAAAACAAAATATATAAATAATAATATCGTGGGGGGAATCCATCCTTTTAAAATCTGGTATGGTTTGGGTACCTGGGGATCCCGTCTCCTCGACTTACGGCCACAAGTGAACCCCCCGATTTTTGTTGCTAAGTGAAACGTTGAAATGGCAAATAGGGTCTCCCTGCTTGACCTGGGGGCTGGACTAGAAGACCTCTAAGGCCCCTTCCAGCTGGATTCCTGATTGATTCCTTTGTTGATGGAATTTGGCTCCCGTTTTTACAACCATTGGTGCCGCGGTTGTTAAGTGAGTAACAGGGTTGTGAAGTGAATCCTGCTTCCCTGTTAAGTTTTGCTTGGAGCCATGTCCAAAAGAAGGGGGCTCACGTAACCTTGGGACACTACAACCGTCATAAATATGAGTCAGTTGCCAAGTGGCCAGTTTTGATCACGTGACCATAATGATGCTGCAACGGTCGTAAGAATGAAAAACAGTCACAGGTTACTGTTCTTGGAACGGTCACACTGAGCGAACAGTTGTAAGTCAGGGACGACCTGTAGATCTTTTATTACAGCTGGTCCTAAAAATACATGACATACACAAATCTGCCACCATTAAGTGCCTGCTTGAAGTGATGACACTGGAAAAAGGGACTTAACAACCTGTCCTTAGGTTTACGACGGTCACGGCATCTCCACACTCACGTGATCAAAATTTGCCAAGCAGAGTCAATGGGGAAAGCTGGATTCGCTTAACGACTGCAATGATTGTGTTTGAGGGCTGCTGCAAAAGAGGTCATAAAGTCAGGCGGGTCTCACTTAACAACTGTCTTATTTAGCGATGGGAGTTCTGGTCCCAGTTGTGGTCGTACACTGATTACATATGTCATTAAGTAAACACATCAAGATCTAAATAATGCATAAATAATACAAATAAGTCAGAATTACATTAACACTTGCATCAGTTGTGCAGTTAATCAAGCTTGTCATTCAAACTATTGCATATGTTACAAACAAGTGACAAAATTTAGCCACACTTGAGAAGAAAGTTGATGATTGTAAATACAACTGATCAGAATCACCGGGGAATTGGATTTAATGTGGAATAGACAGTATAAAATGGTGTTTCTTAACACTGGGCAGCTTGAAAACCTATGGACATCAACTCCCACAATTTCCCAGCCAGCAGAAACCTGGGAGTTGAAGTCCACGTATCTTCAAGCTATCCAGGTTGAGAAGCACTCGTATAAAAGGATATCTCTTGCCATTTCAGAGGCTCATTCTTCTCTGGGCACAGGTTTAAATTCGAATGGAATGCCCTTATATTTTTTCTCCAGAAATGCTGATGGTGAAACATTGATCCATACTGGGGCTAGAGCCTTTCTGAGTTTGAGGCCAGAAAGCACCCTTAGCTCTGGAAAAAGTGCCGGAGCCACTTAAAAATACATTTTTAGGAAAGGATAGATTTGGGACATTCTGGAATTTCACAGTTTTTTTGGGGGGGCGGAGTGTGCTTAACAGGCCTTAACCCTGCTCAGGTTGAGGCCAGACAAGATTGGCCTGACTTAATATTAACAATAAATTCAGTTAATGTTAAGGAATTCTAAGAAATGACATCCCTCCTTTCTTTCTTTCTATAGAGTTCAGATTCTGATGAGGAAGGAGGAGCTTCTGGCCAGACAGAAAGTAAGCAACTATCCAGTGGGAGCTCATGTTTTACTTTAAATATTGTGAATGTATAAATTGAGGCTCTCCCGATATCTCCAAACTGTCTTCCTATAGTTAATGAAAAATGATTTCTAGCCATAGAACCCCCTGAATTGTGAAACCCAGGATAAGAATATTTGCTGTACATGGTAGCTATGTAATCAAGCATTATAATTACATTCTTTGGCCTGGAATAAAGTAAGGCTGGCCTTAATCCATTGAGCAAAGACACATGACTTCTTTCTCTGGGCAACAGTAACATGTCCATTTATTAGTGAGCTTGTACTTTGTGTCAGCTGCCTCATGACAAGGTGAGCAAATCTCCAGTGGAGCACGTAAATCAGAATTTATTTATCAAAAATAAGAATAGAATAGAGGAAACGAGTTCCTACAACAACAGTGCGTCTTCCCTTTCAGAGTTACACTTCTCTGAAACGAGGGGGATCTTGTTTTTTTGCTTTTTTAACAATCTTCTTGGAGTGAGGCAAAACAAACTAGAAAAGCCTCAAACTAGATTCCCTATGGCTGACCGGGGAATTCTGGGACTTGAAGTCCATCCGGCTGAAAGATACCAAGGTTGAGAAACACTGTTTGAAGACATTAGCAATTTTTTTTATATATAAAGCGTAGAATAGCCAGCCTTTGAGCCGCAGGTAGATTTTTCTCCAGGTAAGAGTTTAGCACAGTATGCAGAGATCTCATGGGGGGTCCCTGGCGCTTTTTGAGTTTGGTTATTTTCCTGCAGACATTTTATGACCCAACTAGGTAACGTCAGTGCTACAAGGGAGTAGGCTTTGTGGAGGACTGTGGGGGTCCGTGGTGCCCTCTGAGCTTGGTGGTTTTCCTTGCAGACCTTTAGGTAACTTCATTAGTGCACTGATTATCTCTTCTATCGGCACAGATCTCAGCTCTTCAAGGCAAATTATAATGTTGCGATTTTTTTTTTCTTTCTTACCAGTGGAATTTTTGCGAAACCTCTTTTCCCGGACTCTGGGCTTCGGCAGCGAGAAGCCCGAGAAGGTGCTGGAGGAACTGACGCTGGAAGGCGTGACCAACTTCATTCTCACTGAGAAATGTAAACCAGTTCTTTCTAGAGACTGAAATATTTTGCTCTTTTCCTTTTTCTGTCAGCCTCTGAAGTGGATGAAAAAGGTGTGGGGGGAGGGGAAGAGCTTGTGATGCAGGTGGTGGTGTAGATCAAAGGGAGGAGGGAGGTTTGGCACCTCTTTGTGTTGTAGTTAAACGCTGTTATCAGTATATCTCTGCACGCTTACCTTGGTCGCTGATACTTTTACCGACAGGGACTGCTGTCGACAAAAGTTATTTTCCCAGGGCCACCCAAAGTAGTCAGGCTCTTAGCAGAAGAATTTGAATCCCAGCCTCTAAAATTCTGCGGCTTCTCAGTTGCTGAGGCTCCAATGGTTGGATGCCCATGTCAAGCAGTTGATGCTGTTCAGGGTATGAGGGTGGCATGGTGGAATTCAGGGGTTGATATTGAAAGGCAACGTCTTTCTCTTGCAGGCAAGAATATAATCTGTATGGTTGGTGCAGGAATCTCAACCAGTAAGTGTCACGGTGGCTTTGCCGGTCACGTGTCTTACGTCTCTTTTTTGTTTGTTTGTTTTGTGCAAATGTAGGAGCAGAATGTGATGCTGGTTGATAAAATTAGAAGCTGCCTTTACATAGTTAGGGGTCAGAAGGAGTTTTTTTTTCCTACTCAATCTGAAAAGGTGTGCTCTTATCCTGCAAGAGAGATTATTTTTTTTAATAAGGAAACTCTTTTTCTGGGAGAATAGAGAAAAAACGTTCACAAGAAGCGCTCTGGCGAATCAGAATCATTTCTCCCCTTTGCTCTAAGCTGGGCTTGAAATAATGGATCTGGGAACCTCAAGTACAGCATCTGCCTCTTAGCTCAAACTGTGTTGGTGCTCTCTAGCATCAGAATAAATGAGCCCCTATCCTTAGAATGTATCCTTAGTTAGTTTTCTATTCAGCTGCTTCCAGCTATCCATTTGGTCTCCGCATCTGCCCTTTCTGCCTCTCAGGTGCGGGGATCCCCGATTTCCGCTCACCTGGCACGGGGCTATATGCCAATCTGCAGCAATACAGTCTACCGTATCCCGAAGCCATCTTTGAGATTGGCTACTTCAAGGTACCAGGCTGAGTTACCCGCTTGCTATTTACGTGGGCTGAATACGGTGCTCTCTTGTGCTTTGCTTTCTTTGGCATAACTGATTTTTGATGTCTGTTTTCATTTAGCAAAACCCAGAACCATTCTTCGCCTTGGCTCGGGAGCTCTACCCAGGGCAGTTCAAGGTCAGATAGTTTTTCATATTTCCTGAGCGGTGGGCAGGGATTTAAACTCAATCCTGCAGCAATCTTGTCGCCTTAGGAGAAGAAATGGCTGCCTGAAAGAGTTCCTAACAAGTGCTCCCCGCGCCTCCTTCACACTCTTGAGTAGCTGGATCTGAAGTCCACCTCTGTTTTGGTCTGCTTCTAGTTTAGAGAGATGCTCAAAATCAGTTCTTAAGAGATTTTAAGTGAGGGGCTAAGAGGCTTTAAAGTAGAACCAGCACTACATCCTCTGAATTTTCTTAACAATTTTTAGTGTTTGGGGAAGAGGGACATTTCTTTATCAGAACTGGTTACAATACAATTCCCGTACAATAAACGCACACCTGCAGAACTGCATTCTTCAATTAGAATTAACCCGACTGATTAGATTGTCCCCAGAGAGACTACTATCAATGCCCCTCTTCAGCGGTGGGATTCTACCAGTTCGCACGTATTCACTAAAACCAGTTGTTAACATTCTAAGCAGTTCGGAGAACTTGTTGTTAGAAGAAATTACTGGCCTAATCCTGTAAGGAAGTCAGGAAGGAAACATTCTGGTGTTGCTCACAGAAACTGCCTCTCCATTAACCCTTATTACATTCTTGGCAGGACTAGACTTCCTGTCTCTGGACCGTCTCTGGAGTTTTTTTCCCCTCCTTTGCTGGTACTTTGCTTGTGTAGAGGGACCATTCAAAGTTACAATGGCACTGAAAAAAGTGACTTATGACCCTTTTTCACACTTACGACTGTTGCAGCATCCCCACAGCCATGAGAAGCCAGGCGAGGAGAGGCATGTCTCGATGTGAGTGATGTTGAATTGGCCATGCCCACCAACTAAGCCACACCCACAGAACCGGTTGTTAAAAAATTTGAATCCCACCCCTGCCCCTCTTGTGTGAAATGAATTGGATTGAGGTATATAGGTACAACATTTTAGGAGTGGGGCCTCCTTTTTTGAACAGCCCCTCTGTTGAAATGAAAGTTCCCTTCTCCGGCTTTGTTCCAGAAGATGCCACACACCAAGTTCTTTTGTTGATTGCTCCGTGTCCTCTGCAGGTTTTAATGAACTGAAGCTGATGTTTTTTGTGCTGTTGTCCATTGATTATGGATTAATTTACTGTGGTTTATTGTTTCATTTAACCGCCGTGGATGTTTTGTTGTTAATTTACAATGGATGTTTTAATGTGATGATGTTGTTAACTGCCATAAGTCCCGTAAGTGTCAGAATGAATGAATAAACATATAAATAAAAACTACCCCTTTGGTTTCCTTTGTGAAAAGAAAATATGACATTTAAGGCTCTGGTCCTTTTCAGCCCACAGTCTGTCACTACTTCATCCGCCTTTTGAAGGATAAAGGGCTGCTGCTACGCTGCTACACTCAGGTAAATAAGTCCTTTTCCTTTTAGGTCTCTTTCTGGTCTTTGGGGCTGGTGCTTTAAAACAAAAGTTAAAGCTTTTGTTGTATTATTCCTGCCTCCTAAATAAATAAGGGCCGTTAGCGTTTTCTTGCTTTGAAATGGTGCATTGCAGCAAGTGAATTTTGCCTGAGTCGTCTTGACTGTGAGCCAGTAAGATGATTTATAGCAGAGCTGGAACTTTTCAGTGCCAGGCTTTTCCCTAGGTATATCTTCAAGACAAAGGGAAACTTTTCTTCTCTGTTAATGTTCCAGCATCCTGTTTATCATTTATTAATATCATGCTCCCATCTTTCAGTAGCTCCTCCTTCATAGAGGCCAACAATAACCATGATGGTGCCGTTGGAACTACAATTACCATTGTGCATAGCCTTGCATAGAGTCTTTGAAGCAGTCTGAGCCCCTCTCGGAGACTCCTAGTCAGATTTAGCTCCAGGATTGATTGACGGCCATCGGAGGTTGGATTTATTTCAAACTTCTTTCCTTCTTTCCAGAACATCGACACCTTGGAGCGGGTGGCCGGTCTGGATGCCGAACACTTAGTGGAAGCTCATGGCACCTTTTATACCTCCCATTGCATCAGCTCAACTTGCAAGGCTTCCTACAGCCTGGAGTGGATGAAAGGTGAGGGTCAGGCATTGGAAGCAGGGAAGACGTTATCAGGGGCCCTCTGGAAGGGATCAGAGGGGTAAAGAAAATATTTTAAAAAATCCTTTGGAATAAACTTGTTATTGTAAAGAATTGAACAGTGTTGAGGGAATTATTCGTTTAGCAGAGCGATGGCGTTGGGGGAAAAAACTCTCCTTGGGTCTAGTTGTTCTGGTGTGCAAGATAGGAGGGTTGAGGCCCATCTCACATCTGGGGGAGGGGAAGCCAGATGTTCCAGAGGTCAGGCGCAACGACAGAGAAGGCCCTCCTCCTGGACCCCACCAGCTGGGATACTGGAGGTGAGGCAGCGTGCCTCCTCTGCCTGCACAGGTGGTACGGACCAATCCCAGTGGGGTGAGACAATCCCTCAAGGAACCTGGACCGCTGCCACTTAATGTCAAATCATGAATTAGCTGCAAACGGAATTGGCTCAGGTGCATTGCTCTTCTTTTTTCTTTCAGAAAAAATATTTGCATCTGTCACCCCCAGGTGTGAAAAATGTCAGAGCGTAGTGAAGCCAGGTGAGCCTCTGACCCGGTCATCCCTCAGAGCCACGTCCTGGGATCTTGGTGCTTATCGGTCAGGTTTCAGGGAACCTGAAAGGCTCTGCTTTCTTTTCCTTCCTTCAGACATCGTGTTTTTTGGAGAGAATCTTCCTCCGCGTTTCTTCTCTCTCATGCAGTCGGTAAGTGCTTCAGCCGTTGGTCCTTTGGACTCGGGACGCTGGCAGCCCCAGGTTGGAGGTCTCCCAGGATTTCTGAATCCTTATTTAAGGAGTTAAAATCTCCCCAGGCGAAAGGATGCTAGCAATGTATGCTAACTGGTCAGACGTGATCCATAATTGGTCAGGAAATCTGGTGAATGAAAATAGGGCACAAAAGGAGCCGTGTTTTCGGCATAGAGATAAAGGATGTTTTTTTTTTTTAAAGCATTCAGCTTCCATGGAGTCATATCTTTCTCCCAGAGGAACAAAACGTCGGGCAAACATTAGCTGGATCTTGCACTCTAAGCAGATTAGCACATTAACCTTCAGTGTTATAGGCAGAGGTCCCTCCACATGCAGCATGTAATCATTTGAAATCCTGTACGGCTCGTCCTCGACTTACAACAGTTCGCTTAGTGACCATTTGAAGTTACTACAGCACTGAAAAAAGTGATATGACCATTTTTTACACATTTGACCGTTGTAGCATCCCGTGGTCACATGATTTACATTCGTATGCTGACAACCAGTTCATATTTATGACTGTTGCACTGTCGGGTGTGTGTGTGTGTGTGTGTGATGTGATCCCTTTTGGCAACCTTCTGACCAACAAAGATTCGCTTAACCGTGTTACTATTCGAACAGCTGCAGTGATTCACTTAACAAATGCGGCTAGAAAAGTAAAAAGGGGCAAAACTCACTTAACAAATCTCTCCCTTGGCCGCATAAATTTGGGGCTGAATTCGGGTCGTACGTTGAGGACCACCTGTATCTGCACACTGCAGGAACCTAGAGCTTTCCTCTCTGTTGAAGTAGTCTTACAACCAAGAGCCTTAACACTGCAGGGGTCTGTCATGACCGTAATAACATGGGGCTGCAAAGTCTGTCTAGGCCTGAATAAATGCAAGGTCAAAGGAACATTTCCAGATAGCACGACTTCAGAGACCGGAGTGTTTGAAACCAGGTTAGAAACTGGGACACAGCTCTTCAGGTGCCCGCCATCCTTCACACTCACCCTCTGCTTGCAGGATTTCCAGAACGCGGACATGCTTATTATCATGGGTACCTCCCTTCAGGTCCAGCCTTTCGCCTCTCTGGTCAGCAGGTCAGTGACCCTGGGCTGTGTAAGGGAGGGCTGGCTTTTCTGATCCAAGACGCTGCAGGAACCGTCGCTAAAGGGTCGCTCGTCTCTGTTTCTTCCAGGGTGCCCACAAACACCCCACGGCTTCTGATCAATAAGGAGAAGACTGGAGAGGTGAGGTTAGGTTTGCCACCTGCTTTCTTTGGTCTGCCACAGAGTGGAAGCTCCTGGGAATAGAGCCAGGGTGTGGGCAGCTACGGCAGCTTTTCAGGCTGTGGATTTCAGCTCCCAGAATTCCTGAGCTGACATGCTTCTTATACCTCTGAGAATCAAGAAGGCATTGGCTTGAGTGGCTTCTGAATGCTATCCTGTTGCTCTGGCCTTTTAAAAATAGGCTTTTTAGCCCAGGCAACATCTCCTGCCTATCCCCAACCAAGTCATCTTCCCGACTCTCTACCCTAAAATTATTTCAATGTTATGACCTGTGGGAATTCAACTTGCAGAATTCCCGAGCCAGCTTATATCATGATAGTTCTCTGCCGATCTTCCACCTTAAAATTGTCACCGTTTTGGAGTCCTCCAAGAGGATATTTTTACATTTGTTGTCTCATTTCAGAGTGATCCTTTCATGTCCCTGATGGGCTTAGGCTGCGGGATGGATTTTGATTCGGAGAAGGCATACAGGCAAGTTCAGTTTGGGGTGCAGGATTGCGGCAGGGTGGATGCTGAGAACTTAAGGGTTAACCCATGAGAGGTAGGGTGTTGTTCAGTGCTTTGGTGCCAAGCAGTAGTCTTGGATAAGAGACTTCACTTAGGAGTTAAATAAAGTTTAAGCCAATAATTCTGACATGCTCAGTTCCCCTGGTGTATCTAATGCAGCTTTGTGGTCCATGTGCTGAGTTCCCCTGGTGGCTTTAGGGAGGCTTGTCCTGGTCCTGTCTATGGAGATTCTCAGTCATCCAAGTCATGGTTGTCCCAAAGGTGCTCTTTTTTTTTCCCAAGAGGCAATTGGGCTTTCTTGTTTTTCTTTGAAGAGGTTTCACTTCTCATCCAAGAAGCTTTTTCAGCTCTTGGGGGGGAAAAAGCACCTTTGGGGACACTCTTGGTCTTCATAGCCCAGAGATGTTTTATGGAGATGGTCCTGCTAGGGAGATCCACCCGACTACAAGGTAGTTGTAAAGATTGCTGGAAGAAAAGAGGCCTCTGTGATGCAGTGGTTAGAGTGCTGTACTGCAGGCCACTTCTGCTGACTATTGTCTGCCTGCAATTTGGAAATTCAAATCCCACCAGGCTCAAGGTTGACTCAGCCTTCTGTCCTCCCAAGGGGGATAAAATGAGGGGCCAGATTGTTGGGGGCAAGAGGCTGACTCTGTAAACCGCTTAGAGAGGGCTGTAAAGCACTATAAAGTGGTATATAATTTTAAATGCTATTGCTATCTGTCTTGGAATGCTTTGTCAGCTCTGTATAAAACCCAATAAACTGGAGTTACTTTATTTACCATTCTTTTTGGGGCGGGTTTTTTTTTTTTTCCACTCCACTTAATTTTTCAGGGACGTCGCATGGCTGGGAGACTGTGATGAGGGCTGCCTGGCTTTGGCAGAGCTGTTGGGATGGAAGGTATCTCTCCCAGTTCAAAACCACTGAGAAGAGCCCAGATATAAAAATGAATGGGATTCTCTTTGGCTCCCTCTGGGGCCTTTACTGGGAAGCGGGGTGGTTTGCCAACTTTGGTTCCTTACGTGGATTTCTCTTCTCTCCCCCTTAGAAAGAGCTGCAGGAACTGGTGAAAAAGGAACACGCTGTCATTGACGCCCAATCTGGACAGACTGCGGGTGTCGGGGCAGGCGCTGGTCAGCAACCAGCCAAGAAGCAAGAACAGAACCTGTCTTCGGAGAAAGAAAAGCCAGCTGCAAAGAAAGAAAAATGAAGAGATTAGAAAAGATCGAGGAACGCTATTTTTCTGATTATTAAAAAAACCCACCTCGACACGAACAGGGGATGCTTGGGGCCTTCTGTCTTCATTTCCTTAAGGCGAGCTGGCGGGGTGTTCTCTACCTAATTTGGGGCAAGTCCCTGTCACCCCCAAACTGCTTTGGGGAGGATAAATGAAAAGAAGATTCTTCTGTGAGTCCCTTTGTGCTGCTGGAGAAAAGGCAGGATGTAATTTAAACAAGTAAACTAAGCAAAGGGACTTAGCTTAGCCGTCTGGTGCCAAAAATTTGAGGGGAGGTTTATAGAGTTCAATGCAAAGGTGTAATCCAAAATAGGTCTCATCCCATTTAAGTCATCTCTGGGGACTTTGGGCCTGATTGACGCCACTAACAACTGAAATTATGATTGAATTGAAGTTTTAATTTAGCAGGAGTAGTATTTCTGGAAGATTTCTTTAGAACAGGGATGCCCAACTTGGCAACTTTAAAACTTGTGGACTTCAACTCCCAGAATTCCCCAGCAGCAAGCAAGCAATAGCTCTTAAAGTGGCCAAGATTGGACACACTTGCTTTAGAGCCTTGCTGGGAGGGTGAATTCGATTAATATCCAGTTAACTTCATAAATTTGTTCTAATTGTCTTAGAGGAAAAACAAGACAAAATGAGACCTGATCTTAACTTCTATCTAGCCTTTTTCTTTCTTTCTTTCTTTCTTTCTTTCTTTCTTTCTTTCTTTCTTTCTTTCTTTCTTTCTTTCTTTCTTTCTTTCT